GCTTTAAGGGAGTGAGATGATTTGTGTATGGTGGGTGTGTGATCTGAAAGAAGCATGGACTCAATTCAGGGGTCCAGGGTATTTAAATGGAAAAGGGTAAAAAACTCGTTTTACATTTCTTTTTCAGCTGATTTTTTTCATATTTGCTCTCTTCTTAGCTGTAAAAATAAAGGTGCTCAATATTTACCTGTGCTGGGCACAGAGCTGAAATGGTGGTTTATCCACTTCTAATCCTAACAGCCAAGGTACATGCATCATGCAAGTTCTCTGACAAATACAGTGATAATACTCACCATTTCTATGTGAGTTTTAACTCCTTAAAATTATTTTTCATTAGTTCTTTTATTTGGTGTTTAAAGAGAATGACCTGCCTGCTTCAGCCCTGGTCACTGAGCTGGTGCCATTGACAGTCCCTGGATGCTTTGTAGAGAGACCTGCTGGGCAGAAGTACTGGACCCGGGGTCAGGGCCCAGACATGCTTTCCAGAAACCATACATAGCCGCCCAAAATTGAATTTTATTTTATTTTATTTTTGTTGTTGTTGCTGTGGTAGTTTAGGCTGGGGCCAGGTTTGAACCCACCACCCTCAGTACATGGGACTGGTACCCTATTCCCTGAGCCACAGGTGCCACCCCAAAATTGAATTTTAGTTAAACACTTATATTACTAACTTATGAGTAGGAAAATTGCTGAAAGGGTAACATTTCCAAAGAAGCCAAATTTAAAATTTGTTTGCCAAATGCTTTTGTGCTATTTTCACTTTCAAGTAAAGTTATTCCCTTACACAGAGATTAAATAACCAGTGGTGCCGAGTTGGTGCACAGTGTGTCTGGGCAAGGCATGAAATATTCTGGTGCGTAGAACATTTTCAAGAATTTCAGAACTTCTTAAGGTTTCCTTATTTTGAGCCAAGTATATTGCCTCTTACTTTTAAAATTTGGTGAGCCTTTTGTCTCTATGCTTTAAAATTATCTTTTTAAAAAAAGTATCGTTGGATGTTCATAAGGACTTAAAAGTTTTAGCAGCCCTTTGGAAGATAAAAGTTCTTAAATTCTTATAGCTGACTGGCCTCTAAGAAGGCTGGTCTTACTCAGACTTGGAAAATTTCCCCTTTTATGAGTACAAAAAATATCTAATGCTTTTCCTCAAAGAAAAAATAATTTTAAATAATTGTATAATTCTGGTACTCCCACTTATAAAAAGTTAACATGATTTAGTTTATAATGATGTTTAATTGTGGTCACTGATGTCTCCATTAATCTCTAAATAAGATGGCAATAGTACCAGGGAAACTTCCCTGGAGTAAGGAGACACAGTGGGTGTGAAAAGTGAATTCCCAGCGGGAGGCTGGAGACCTCACTGAGTCTGGGTCAGCGGCCTCTCTGGGCCTCACATTCCTTACCTCTGAGGGACAGGGCCTGTCCAGACATCTTTTTGTTATTAATTCTATTTTTGTGTGACTTGAATTATTTAAAATTTACTGAATTTTGTTTTATGGCCCAGAATACGATTGGCCTTGACACTGTTCTGCGTGCTCTTCAAAGGAGCATGTGTTCGCTGCTGCTGGACAGCATGTTCTTGAGATGTCTGTGAGGTCAAGGTGGCCGATAGCTTTGTCTGTCCTAACTGAACACAGTCCACTTGTCACATCAGCTTTGAGGAGACAGGGGCTGAAACCTCCAGCTATAGCTGTGGATTGGTCTAATTGTCTTTGAAGTTCTGTCACTCTTTTGCTTCATTTATTTTGAAAATCTAATACAAGGTGATCGATGTTTTGGATTATTGTATTCTCTTAGTGAATTGACTCCTTTCAGACTTTCCTTTCAAAAGTTTTTTTTTTTTTTTTTTGAGACAGAGCCTCAAGCTGTCCCCCTGGGGTAGAGTGCTGTGGCATCACAGCTCACAGCAACCTCCAACTCCTGGGCTCAAGCAAATCTCCTGCCTCAGCCTCCCAAGTAGCTGGGACCACAGGTGCCCGCCACAATGCCCGGCTATTTTTTGGTTGCTGCCGTCATTGTTGTTTGGCAGGCCCAGGCTGGATTCAAACCCGCCACCTTGGGTGTACGTGGCTGGCGCCTTAGCCACTTGAGCCACAGGCGCTGAGCCCCTTTCAAAAGATTTATGAAAACTTTTAAAATTCCTGGTAATAGTGACTGCTTTGAAATCTGCTTTATCTGATAAGAATCTGGCCATTCCAACTTTATTTTGACTAACCTTGGGAGGGGAATATCTTTTTTTGCTTATTTCCTTTTACTTATTTGTGTTTTATAGTTGAAATAATTTTCTTGTAGACAGTTTATAAGTGGGTCTTGCTTTTTCATCGAATCTGATAATCTCTGTCTAGGTTTAAATCTATCTTTTATTTTTTTTTCATCTCATTTGTTTTTTTCCCTCTTTCCTTCTTTCTATTCCTTTTGTACTGAGCATTTTTATCATCCTATTTAATCTCTGTTGTCGCTTATTAGGTATATCCTTTTGGTTTTTATTTTATTTATTTTATAGGGAGCAGTCTGTATCCTCTTCATTTTAATGGTTCCTTTAGGTTTTGTCTTTAACTTATCACAGTCCAAGGGGCATCATACCTTCCAGGGATATGCACCCAACACCACTTCACATCAGTGTAAGGGCATTATAAATTTCATCCCTCCCAAGCTTGGTACTAATGTCACACCTATGTTATAAAGCCCACACACTACCTGGCTATTATTTTTGCTTTGAATAGTGAACAAATATTTATCCTTTTAGTTAAATTTTATTTCTTAATGTGAAACCAGGTTGTTTTTGGCTGAAGGATTTCCTTTAGTCCTTTTCGTAATGCAGGTCTGGTGGTGATGAATTCTTTGTGTTGGTATTTTTTTTTTGCGGTTTTTGGCCAGGGCTGGGTTTGAACCGCCACCTCTGGCATATGGGGCCCGCGCCCTACTCCTTTGAGCCACAGGCACCGCCCTACGTTGGTATTTACTTCGTCTTTATTTTGAAAGGTATTCTTGCAGGATCTAGGACTTTGGGATTTCAGGTTTTCTTTCCTCTCACTACTTTACTTTTGCTTCACTATCTTCTTGCTTATATATTTCTGATGATTAATCAGCTGTAATCTTTATCTTTGTTTTTCTAATAGAAAGTGTCTTTTTTCAGATACTCTTTTCTCTGGGTGTCCAGCCTAGACCTTGATTTGCATTGAGTACCCTGCTTTAAAAGCCCACCCAGTACTTTCAGGTCCATGTTGAAATTTAGCTCTTATTTCTTACTAGGCCTGAGGTGTCAGAAGACTCCGCTGGGGTCCCCCAGAGGGGCAGTTTCCAGGCAGCTCCGTGCACCTGCGATGCTCAGGGGTGCTGTGAATGCCTCGTGCCCGTGCCAGCCACCAAGCTCAACAGCAGCCTCCTTATGTATTTGAAAATCTCATCTGGTGGGATAACTTTTCAGTCACCTCTGCTGTCAGTTCAGCCCATAAATGTTGGTAAGTTGTGTGCTAAATAATAATAGATCTTAGCATCAGCCACACAAGACAGGCTACACATCCCTTACACAATTTTACTAGCTTATCTCACTTTGACCAATGCTACGTGCATATAATGATAGTCAATGTGGTAAAGGGGATACTAAGAACAGGTTCAGGAATGATTTAGCACAAAAATATGTCTCTGCAATTGTCACTTAAATTCTTTTTCTGAAAACAATTTGGTTCCTTTAAACCCTGGATCTGTCTGGTGGCTATGTATTGTTTGGTAATCACTATTTCACATCTCAGACAACTAACATGGAAAATAATTAGAAGTGTGTTTCCTACCTGAATTTATTCCTTCAATAAATATTTCTTAGAGATTCATGTGTGTCAGGGATTGTTGTAGGAGTGGGAGAAACAGTGAGGACTGTAGGAAGTTTCCTACCTTGCAGAGCAGGGGCCAACAGCAGTGGGCACACACAAATAGTAACAGTGTAAACAAGGAATTTACTATACAACCTCGATGATAAGAAAATCTCAAATAAAAGGCAATGCACCAATTTTTTAAATGCAAAGATCACCCAAATCTCTTTGGATTAGTTTAGGTATACAATTGCAAATATGAATGTTAAAGTATTTAATTTACTAATTTAATTTATATACATGTGTTGAATTATAATTTAGCAGTGTTAATATTTTCCACTTATATTTCTTGAAATAACTATATGCAAACTCTTCACACTCATTTTGACATTGTTTTATTATTATTATTATTATTGTTATTATTATTGCAGTTTTTTGGCTGGGGCTGGGTTTGAACCCACCACCTCCAGTATAAGGGGCTGGCGCCCTATTCTTTGAGCCACAGGTGCCACCCGACATGATATTGGTGTCACTAGAACCACTTTTCCAAGCATGTGACATGACTTTATTCAAGCCATATTTAAATATTTTAAAGGTTTTGTTGTATGCTTAAAACTATGCACACACACACATAGCCACACACTATGTGTGTAAACATGTACACATTCCCTGGAACTCAGAAGTCAGGTACCAAGTTAGAGTCCCTGTTAGCCTAAGAAACTTCACTATTCCGTCTGGTGACAAGTCAGGGCCTGCCGTGTCTATTGCATGGAGACATTTGTGCTCTGGGTTATTTGAATAGGTGTTTCTGGATTATTATGATTTAAAACGAATATATATGATGACTTTTTGGTAGTTCTGTGGACTTTCCAAATACTGTTCTGTGGAATGCGTCCTTTGTTACCCTCTAAAACAAGTGGTGTAGGTAGGAACGTGGGGAGATTTCAAATGAGTTTGAGACATTCTGGGTTAAATAAAGTTAAGTAGGATTTTCAAATCACAAAATCACATTTAGCAAAATAATGTCCTTTACTTATTTATAATCTTTACCACTTAGAGGGAAGAAATAAAGATACATGGGTTCCCATGATAAAGTAAAAGAAGCAGACTCAATACTCAGGCTTTCTGCTGGGTCTGTAATTAGTCCCTTTAGAAAGTCACCTCTTAGGTACTTGCAAGGCAGAATATACTGAAAATTAATCTGATTTGATTTCACTCAGATAGGATTCTCATGGAAATTGCTCGGCTTAAAAGTCTTCTCTTTTTTCCTCAAGTGAAGCCTGACCCCCCAGTGGGTTTGCACATGGAGGTCACAGATGACGGCAGTTTACGAATCTCTTGGTCCAGCCCCACATTGGTACCATTTCCACTTCAATATCAAGTGAAATATTCAGAGAATTCCACAGCAATTACAAGAGAAGTAAGTATATTTTAGTAAATAAAATGAAAACTGGAGAAACAACTAAAACCCCCCTAAGTCCTCTGCACATTAAACATGCACCCTCCTTGTAAAGCAGGGTGAGTGTAACCCAGTGTTAGACTCAGTACGTGTGGGGATTTCACATTTCCTCCTTACTGTGCCTAGTGTTCAATGTATTTAAATCATTTTCTAAATGTAGTGGCGGGAAGAGTCCTTGCTGAGTCTTTTCTAGGCCTCCCTTTGCACTTCATGTTAGATGCAGTTTTAGGAAAGAGCCTTGCTCAGTCATCTTGGCAAGAACCCCCAATCCTTGATATCTGATTGATATTTGATCAGGTTCTTCACCTCCACCACCCCCCGGAGATGTTCTATCACTCTGTCCTATCATCACCAGGAATCCTGTTAGGTCAGATCGGCCAGAATCCCCTCACTTTTCAGCTTCCTCTGAGCAATTTCCAGTCCACTGACCCCACCTGCTCCTTTGCTGTAATCCCACTTGCTCATGTTATGTGGAATTAGCCCGATCGCCCCCACTCCCAGCAAGGGCTGTCTCAGTGGTCCCTATAGCTGCTCTGTTGGGCTCCAGTAAAGTCTTCTTCTTTACTGTGTCTAATCAAGTATCGGTGAATTTTTATTCTTTTTTTTTTTTTTTT